CTTTTAACATATCACCTAATTCACATATCACCTAATTCCGTGAACCAGTTTTTCAAGCATAAGGATGCGTGTGCGACTTCAGGATTTATTCGATTTTGGGTAAGACTGATTGTGTTCCTTGCGATAAAGAAGGCTTGCTCACTTGGTACGCTTGTAGACTGAACTGCAAGAAAGTCCATCGCAATGTGTGCAAGTACTGGGAATTGATTTGAGTTTGCTTTCCACCAAAGAAGTGGATCTGCTTTAGTCTCTGGCTCAGAGAAGTATTTCTCAATTTTACACCAATTTAGGTTAGATTGATGGCACTTTGTGAAATTTCGAAAAAACCTTCGTGTTGATTTAGTAGCAGTGATAGGTGGTAATGGTTTTTTTTCTTCAGGTGGTTTGTATATTTGGTACACTTCATAGAGTTTATTAATAGTTTGTTCACGTTCAGTAATATTATAGGTAGAAAGTTTATTATGGGGGTCAAGAAGGCCTGAAATTGCTGACAATTCATTTAGGTAAGCCCAATATAATATAAATTTTACTTTCATTGCATTAGCTACAGCATGTTGTGTATTGATCACTGGGTTTTCATTATTATTTAAATGTATAATAAGACCACGGAATATCAAGCGCAAGTCACCTTGGGTTGGAAGTGTTGGCGAAGACAGCATTATGGTTGCATGATACATAGGTTCAAGAAGAGCTAACAGGTCCTGTAATTTGCAATAATAGTATTAAAATCTTTTAAAACAATAGAAAATTATTTAACTAACCATAATAATTTCCCATTCTTGTTCATCAGGATAATTCGGTTTTAACATTTGGTTGTTTACAACAAGAATATCGGTCATAGGGCGAATTTGTTGAAGTTATTCTAATAAAATATACATGCTATTCTATCTGGTATCTACATTAGCTTGAGGCATTAAAAATGGTTGATTTTTTATTTCAAATATTTGTTTTAATTCTCTAATTAGCGATGAAGAGTTTTGAAGCCTAATAGAAAACTCCCACGCTTTAGAAATTTCTTTACTGACTGACTTAATTTCTTCTTCAACAATGATATTTAGAATATGTGCACCACAGCGAAAATGCTGCATATTAATATTACTAAATTTATTATGCATTCTTTCTTTTAGAACATGACCCATAGCAATCATATTGGAAGCGTTGTCTGTTGTTACTCCTAAGAGCTTATGGCCTATATTCATTTTTGTTAAAAGTTCAATTATCGCATCAGTTTGGTTGACCGCAGTGTGTGCTTGATTGAAAGGAATAATGTCTAATAAAATGCGATGCATTTTCCACTCAGGATCTACCCAATAAGCAGTTACACCAAGGTAGGGTTGTTGTGTACAGGATGTCCAGCCGTCTATAGTAATTGAAATTTTTGATGGAACGTCGTTAAAAAAAGTGATAATTTTATTTTTACTATTAATATACTCTTGACTGACCCAAGTTGAGATTGTTTGGCGACATGGGGTTTTGTATCTCGGATCAAGTTCGTGTAAAAAATTAATAAATTCAGTATTTTCGACCAACAAAAATGACTGTTGGTCAACGACTACCCATTTTAAAAGTTTATTATTTATTGTATCTATTTTATATTTGTCATTTGGGCCATAAGGGTCAAGTCGTCGAAGTTTACGCTGTTTAATTTTAGTAAACTCTGCAGAATGGAAGTTTTGAAAATGCCAATTAATAGTCGATATTGCAGTCAGGTTGCCAAACGTTTGTTTACATAATTTACATCTTTTACCTCCATCAGGAGTTGATAAAAGGTAATCTCTAACGGGTGCTCGATTATTTGTAGAGGAGGTGGAAACATTACTTAGTGTTTGATTAGTATTATCTGATAAGGGTGCGATTTCATCACTTGTAGTTTCTTCACTAGAGGTTTCTGATTATTTGTCTATGGATTCGATATAATTTGTTATCATGGATTCCGATTCGTTTGTTTTCAATTTTTATTTTATTTTTGTTTTTATTTTTTTTATTATTTTTTTTTGAGGGATCTTTAAATAACTTTTGCGACGAGATCATACACTGTCTTTGTTTTATCAAACAGGATTACTATAAACATGGGCGATATTTTACAATCAATAAAATTATTAATGCCTTTCAATATCGATACTGACTTTGTTTTATTAAACAGGAATAATTTGAAACTTTTTTATCATTTTATTGAAGTAATTTTCTTTTATTTCAAGACAAAGGTGGTCAACAATTATAAACCATAGTTCATCATGTTGAATTAACTTATATATAAGTTTAAATTCGCCTTTATTATATATTTAATGCCAGAGATGGTTAATTTTTTAAGGAGTATGTATCGCCTTTAGCATAGGAAACAGCACTTTTATTATTTCTAAAAAAGTTGGTTAATAAGTGTGAGTGAACTGCTTTTGTTATTAAATACTCGATAGTTAATTAATGTTACTAAGTTTACTCACCTATGAACATATATTCAATTCCCGAGATAGTTAACTTCTTGACTAAGGCTGTGAATCGATTCTAAAAATCAGAATCGATGGTCGAAAATATGATTAATAGACAAAGAAATTTTCTTCGATCATCATCACAAAAATCAAGGGGTCACATCTTTTTGCAAAGTGCAATAATTGTTTGTAGAAATGACTAGAATGATTATACAGAAATAAGAATCGATTCTAATTCGATCAACAATTAAAACGATTATTATAGAATCGATTCACACCCCTATTCTTGACACGACAAATGGGTGAGTACACAGCAAAACCATGCTTAGAGTATATATATTTCATATACTCTAAGCATGGTTTTGCT